ATTGTTTTTAACAAGCTTTACAGGAGAAGGAGGGAAAGAAGAAATGAGCTTCTGAAACAAAAGTAGAAATGAGGGAAGGGGGCAAAATTCCCTGTGGCTCATTTTATGCATTGGAACGAAATCAGCCCTGTTTAGGTGGTGCTTTTCAGTCTCCTTTTAACTGCAAGAACATGGAAAACTAATTTTCCACACCCTGTGTTATTTCACAGATATCTACATGGCCTGGATGGCTCAGGAACTGAAAACCGATTTGTTGGCTGAATCCTGGCAGCATTCTGGCCAAAAGCTTCCCTCAAATTGCTCTCTTGACTACCATGTCTACAACATAAACCTAATAGGGACACCATTAAATTCCACCTTTTATTCCATTAACGACCACTCCAAATGGGCTGCTTCAAGGGAATACAAAGATCAGTGGACCTGCATTGGAGACTTAAACCGAGCTGCTGAGCAAGCCTGGAGAAGTGGTGGGTTCATCTGTACACGGAACGAACACATCTACAAAGCCTTCAGGCCTTTGATAAGGCACTATGAAAACTGCACGGATGCTTCCACGCTCATATAACAAACCATTCCCCGCAAACAGCAGAGCCCCTCGCGACATAACAGCTGTGAGAAACATAGAATAATGGAATGTTTGGAGTTGGAAGGGACCTCTCGAGATCATTGAGTCCAACCCCCCAGCCAGAGCAGGATCCCCTAGGGCAGCCACACAGGAACACGTCCAGGCGGGGTTTGAAAAGTCTCCAGAGATGAAGCCTCCACCACTCCTCTGGGCAGCCTGGGCCAGGGCTCTGCTACCCTCATAGTGAAAAAGTTTTTCCTAATATTTTTGTTGAACACAGAATCACAGAATGAAATGTCTCCCTTAAACTATATTTTCACTCTGAAAAAAGGCCCTGTGTGTTGCCGGGTGTGTCAGACCTTCACCTTGTTAGCTGGTGGTTTGCAGGCAAGTTGTGGCTGTGTTTACGGCTGTGGGTGTGCTGAGCCCCGCTCCGCTCTCCATCTCCCCAGGGTGTCCTGTGAGGGATGCTGGACCTGGGCCAGGAGGAACAACCCTAGCCTGTCTCATTAGGTAGGTGGTTGGGACTGGGCAGTTAACAGGAGAACAGCACCCCAAAATCCTTCAAAATCAGGCAGTTCAAATTCAAGATCAGTCACAGCACTGCGGCTCAGTTTGGGCTGATTTTCTTAAAGAGCTGACATAACTGGACGTAGATAGAGAGACAAGTAGATCTGTGGACAGGAAGGATTCATTCTTACATGATTAGTTTTTAGGGAAGAAATGAGCTTTAAATCATTTATAACCGATAGCTTGGGAGCATTCCTAGTGCTTTTATTCATGTACATCAATCTTATAAACAAATAAACATGTCCAAAATATGAATAAGCAAAATAAATTAAGGGCAAAAATGGTCTGTTTACAGTCTCCCTCTTCCATCTTTGTAGTTATTTGTGGTTGGTTACAATGTTTTACAGCTGCCAGAGGAAAAATGAAGACAATTAGGAAAAAAACTAAAAATAAAGCAGAAGAAAATATTTGAAAGAAGAAGATATTTCACCTACATTTTCACACTACAGCAAACGTGGCTGTTAATTTTCAGTGCCTCCAGTCTCAGGCTTAGAACCTGAAGTTTGCGTAAGACAAAGCTAACTTGCAAAATCCTGATACACTCTTGGGTTCAGATTTCAAAAGTGTATCTGTATTTAAAATGTTCCTAAATGTATTTGTATCCTATATCTAATCTGTGGGTTTTTTCCTCAATAACTAATATAAACTCCACTCCAAAGAGTCCCCAGTCCTAGTCCAGTCCCCACCAATATTTTTATTTTCTGTGTTCATAGTCCATAGCACTGATTCTCCACCACAGTGTCTTAAAAGGAATTACTTATAAAGAGATGCCCCACAACTGCACAAAGTGTTGAGGATTTCTTTCCCTTTTCACACTGAAAAATCAACCAAACAACAAAGTGTGCAAAGTGCCAAACAAATTAATTTCAGAAAACATTTGTGCACACTTCTTGAAGAAATAAAAATAATATATCTGGCCTGCTTAATGAGGAGAACTATGCAGGAATAGATTTCACAGTCAATCTGAATCGAAGGCAAACCTGAGTCTCATAGTTCAGTGAAAATTATGTATATAGCTTAGATATTCTGCACAAAATAGGTATTTTTCTTTTCCCTGTGTATGATCAAATAACATCTGATAAGTGATTTGCTTGATAATGTTCTTTCTCTGATGCCTGCCAAATTGTTTTACGTATATATTTTTGTTGTTTTCCTGGCTGTGGTCAAGCAACACCTATTTGTGGCAGTGAAAACGGCCAGTGCCGCAGAACGCTGGGCAGCGGGACGGTAGGGCATCACTCAGATAAGCCAAGATCAAATGCCTTTCTCTTGCCCGCCTTTTCATGGAAGACACGAACCTACCCCACCTGTCTGAACTCTTACATCTTGCCCATAGCTCTGCAAACGCGTGACCTCAGTGTACAGGAATGGCGAGAAACCCTTGGCTGGAGACAGCGCCGGTGAGGTTCACCGCGGTGCATCAGAGCTGGACCTGTGGCACAACCTGTATTTCCTATGGTAGATACTCAGCCACAGCATCTGTGTCACCAGAGTCCCACAGCAAAGAGTCTCCATCCACAGGCTGTTGCCACAGTCCTGCTCCCCAGGGAGCCAACAGCCCATCATTTGACTTTAAGTGCAGATTGCTCTTCTTAATTACTTGATCAATTGATAGCTGCCATAAAGCTTCAGACGGCTGCTTACGACATTCCTCTTTCCTTGTACCCAAGACTGGCAGCCTCTCTTTTTGCTGCCAGTTATATTGGCGGACG